CATATATAAAAAAACCTCAGCTTCAAATTAATTTTCCCTCAGAGCCTGCAGGACGATAAAAACAATAAAAATTAAATTAAATAAGTCAGATAAAATAAGAAATAAGTTCACTGCTCTTCTCCTCGTCCTCTCCCCCTCCTGCCTGCTCTGTTATCCGCGGCAGACACCCCCGCCGCGCGCACGCACACACACACACACACACACGCGCGCGCGCGCGTGACAAACACGGACTTTAAACGTGAAGTTTTATAACATCCACACTGGCGAGGTGGATGCGCCCTGTGCGTGTATCCAAAGTGTGACTTTTGCTGTCCTGCTGTTCTTGTCAGGGAGGGGTCTGTAGGTCAGGGTCGTGAGGAGGAAGCAGATGAATGGAGTTGCGCACGGGAACTTTTATTTAAGATTTAAGAATTTTTTACTTCAAAGGTCCTCATAGCTCAGCAGCAGCAGCAGCAGCAGAAGCATAAATATTACTGTTAATAAATCTGATGATAAAGTTGAATAAAAATCTGTCTGATGAAGGTAAATAAACTATCTGACAGTGATCATTACACAGTGTGGCTCTAATTCTTCACTTCACCATCTGTGTCACAGTTTCATGTCTCCAAAATGAGCGTACACATGGGTCAGAGCTGTGAGGCACCGCACATTTTCACGTCAAGTTTGGATTTTATAATTCACAACCTTGGCGTAAAAAGTTGTGTACGCAATTTTCTGGGCTCAAATTGTGCGTATGCCAGTTTTATAAATCCGACCCCTGGTCTGTACTGTGTGTTAGATGTTATCTGGAGACGTCCACCTTGCCCAGGCCAGCCTCACACCAAGAAGCTGGGAGAGGCTGCTACAGCCAAGGGTTCATGCATCAAACCGTCTGAGCTGTTTGTTGGGAGAGTCAACGATGATGTGGCCGAAGGTGGGGTACCATGGTGGTCTAGCTGTATGACGTGATGCTGGAGCCGGAGGCGCCAGGTGGTGTGTGATGAAGGCCACGATCGAGGGTTCTTATACTTTTTATCAAATCTGTGTTGTGATTCATTTGGTTCGGTATTAACCATTTGTACTGATTGCAATTTATTGTATTATTGTCAAAATGTATGTAGCTAGTCATTTGAACTTTGTTTTGTATAACCCTGTTTGTTTTTAGCAGATCCAGGGACAAGAAAAATAGCCTTATGCAAAGTCTGGCACATTTACAGAAATGTTAATTAATGTGCATTGTTCCTGCCAAATAAATTAAATTAATGTTATAACATTATGTAAACTCTGACTCTTCATCTCTGATAGAAACTCAAAATAATCTAAAGAAACATCAGATTCTTCTCTACAGTCTGTGTTTAGTTACTGTAGCAACGCTTTGTTTACATTCCCCCTTTGACATCACTTCCTGTTACTGAACATGTGAATTTTTCATCAACTGTTCATCTCAGAGCTGTGATAAAAAACATTTCAATAGTTATCTTTTCAAAAAAAGCATCCATATTACAAAAATGTAATGTCACAGGAACTTTAAATCTTGAGTTGGTTGCAGCAAACATTTAGTGTTTCTTTTAGCTCAGACTGAAGCTGATTAAAATCAGTTTATTTATTTATCAAACTGAACCTACTGTAAGCTGTAGGTTTGCAAATCGAGTCAGAATGTGTCTACTTTTAAAATGTTTTATTGTACTGAAATAAAAACTAAATAGTAAAGTTATTATATTTTTGTGTAAAGTACTTTATTGCAACATTTATTTATTTATGTATTTATTTATTTATTTCACAATAAACTACTTTGAACACAGTTTCTGTTTATAAATGAAGTTGTTTGTTGTGATCCTCCAAGCAGCTTAGTGGCGCTGAAGCTTCGTCACTGAGTTTTCCTGCTGCAATTAAACCCACGAAGAAGAAGCGAACAGTCGGTT